CCCCCCCCCCAAAATTACGAACATGCAAGCAATACGTTGATTTACTTAAAAATCAAGAAGTCACACAATTTAGCACTCACTACAAAATACGGTTAAAAAAGTCACAGGCTACAGCTTGAAAGCAAGGAAAACAAAAAAAAGGCCCTTTGCTCCCCATGGCAAAGTCACTCCTCAACAACAAAAACAAAATTAAAAAGACCCCCCCCAAAAAAAAAACTTTCACTACAGCTCTTTCAATTTAATAAAAGCACACAGTTTAGCTATCAACACCACTTCATTACTGTAATAAATAAATAAAAAAAAAAAGCACACGGAGGTCTATTGACTATATGAAAAAAACATACATGCATCGTTAATCACCATTTTAGCTTGTTTGTGTTTGAGTCTACTGGTTACAGAGTTTAATTCCAAACAGAACTATTCCACCTCTTATCATCATATCCTTCTCATCAGTTATCTTAACTGTAAACGATCCCTGTCAGATTAGAAAGAGATAAATAACATTGAGTCAAGCTGAAAAAAGAGAAATGGGGCACAGCAATCTTGCATCAAGTCATACCTCCTTGTTTTATCATAGGGTCATATGGGACGGGACTGCTTAGTGGAAGGGACACGTCCCACACAACTTGACTCGGCTGCGCCATTCGGAACATGACCGACAAGGTGAGCGCATTTACGGGTATACATTTGTAAGTCTGAGAACGTCAGCACTGCTGGTCAGTTTTAAGGCTGCTACTGCAAGAGCCCTTCAAGGATCATACTTTTTCTTTCCTTTTTTAAAAAAAAGGTTTTTCCTCCCCGGTTTGAGGTCCCATTGAACAGACTTACCCAAAAGGCCTCTGAATGAGAGCTGGATGAAGCTGCTGGACACCAAAGGCAAAACCTACCAACAAAAACACATCACATTCTCTGTATGGGTGTTCTTTAGGCCACTTCTTTATGCTATATATACACACGCACACAAACGCAGAGTAACAGCCTTCGCTAACAACCTCCAGTGACGATGTCTGAAAGGCTGTAGAACCAAAGATTAGAAAGCAAAATATATCAATCCACACATGCACACGCACACATATGTGCATACAGAACGTGAAACAGTAAAGCGCACGCCTTCCTAGAGATGTTTAGAAGAATGACTTTCTTTAAACAATAAGCACAAGGTTTTCATTCACATTTTATCTCCTGCTCCATTCTGGTCCCCAACTTAGCCTCTGAAGGATTATATGGTACTTTCTGTTCATCAGTGTATTTGCGTACTTTCGGCAGACTTAAATTCAAGCCATTCATACTCATGAGGACTTAGCACGGGGGGCAAATCCTAACTTCGTTTCTGTTCTTCAAGCGCCCACACATCAACCCCTTCTTTCCTCGGCCGGCACTCAGTTACTCACACAAGTCTTGCTCAGGCCAAGCACGGGGGAATTGAGAGCAGCCGCCTTTAGAGCAGAGGTGCACCTGTGCTCCTGTCGCTCTTGCTGCAAAGCAGCGGTTTGGGAAGGAGCTAGGACATCAGATTGGCTCAGATGTGGTCTCATTTTAAGGTCTGCGTAATAGCTCCGATCCCTTCGAGGAGTTTGCATTAAGATACTGTTTGTATTAATGAGACCGCACACATTGGAAGCGACTCATTCCTAGGCCAATCATTCCCAGCAACAATACTGTAAATGGTCAGCGCCACCGCATTCCCAGCAGCAGGAAAACCGATGAAGTGCCTCAGCTGTGTAAGTCTTTCTGGGGAACGGCAGATATTTTATCTCCGATCGCTTTGGCTTTTTAAATAAGGCACATATACAACATACCCAGAAAGTTACTACACGCTGCGTTTAAAGATCAAAACCGAAGCACACCCAAACAGCGAGCGTACTTTGGGGAAGTGCCGGACAGCACTACCTTTCTTAAAGTTTCGCTCTCTTCAGAAACCCGAGGTACAGAGAGAAAAGCCATCCAGGGCCGCCTTCTCACCTGGCTGCATTATCCGTGGTTTGGCACCCAGGTACGCCAGGTTCACGTTGGCTTTCCGGCCATCGATGATGGGGTTGGGGTCTTTACAAGCCCTTTCAGCAGCAGCTCTGTCAGCCATGGTGACCTTAACGGGCGACGCTGCGTGTGAGAT